TCGTCTTTTTTCACGATATTAATAAAAAGCTAAAATATCAGATATGTGAGACGTAAAAATAAAGATAACCAATTGAGGGTTTTTTTTGCTGTTCCCGCAATGTGCGTTTTATCTAAAAACAGATTAACTTGGACAATTTATATCGTACACCTTCCAGCAACGCACTCGCCAATTGCCAGCAGTATTTCGCCTTGCATTCCTTGCAGTAAATAGCGAATGGGCGATATTTCGGATCGGCGGGCGCGTTAAGCTTGAAACAATCGCATAGCATTGCCATATTTATCCAAGGCAACGAATGACCGCGGCCCCATTTGCAGATCGTAAAGATAATAGAGACGCATAGTCGTAGCCATTCTCTGCATGCGTCATCAATAATCCAACACCGTAACGTGACCTGCAATTTGCAGGACATTAGCACCGCGGTCAGATTTCGGTGTTCTGTGCTACGAATGATGACTGATTTCGTTAATGTAGCGAGTACACGTGCATACCGCGCGGTTTCTGTGTCCTGTTACGAGGTAGCCGAAAGATAAGACCGCGAGTAATATGATTTCGCGACCTACGTGACTTCCAACCGCGACGAGTACGTGATAAAAGTTACACGGGTTTTTGCGCTGCAAACATTTTTGTTTTATTAGTCCAGAATTAGGGTAGAAAAATATCTCAATGGAAATCAAGAGATAGGAGTTGTTATCTCACAGCTTAGAAATTATCATAATTAACATATTTTTCGTATTTCAAATTATTATATTATTATTCTTATCGATTCTTTGACATAATTCTTTTGTAGTTCTTTTCAGCACAATTTTTTGAAACTGAAAAGGCTATTTTGCCTATATAAAACATAAAAATAGAAATAAAACTAAAAAATTTTGAAGGTATTATTTCACAAATTTAGTATTTATTGTAGCATAATTATTATTTTGTAATTAAATATGTTACGAATTTTCAACACAACAGTTTATAAATATGGTTAAAAAAATCTCATATATTCAATTATATATGTATTTTAAAACAGCATTTGCCAATTATTTGCCAATTAAATCGAAATAATTAGTTTTGATTCTGTATATGTTCGCAAGCCTATTAGGCGCATTACCTATTACATTTCCCAGACTCAGTAATTAGTCGTAAGAGCCTACTCAAAATTCTGCTACTGCGGAATATCACGGATGTTATAACCAGATTCACACTCAATTAACACGCTCGCGCTTACGTTGCGCGCGACTCCGCGGTGAGGCGACATTATGGATTTTATCGCGGCGGCCGCTAATTGCTACTGAAATTTATCTGGCGCCTCCATATTCTACGGGATATTACTACAGCGCTGCAGTAGTACTCGAGATCATAACTTACCGTCCTAAATCAACACGCTGTTCTCCGTGGCGCTAAAACGCGAGAGTGGTGTCTCGTTTGATTTTGCTGGGTAACTCGCTGAGTAACTCGCTAAATCAAGTACATTTGTTTAAACTTTTTGTCTCCTCTGTGCAAAGTTCTAGACTATCGCTGCCAAAAGATGCGATGAGATTGAATCGCGAGTAACAATGACATACTCAATAATAATCTTTCTTCTTTATTTAGATATACCGTAAACGACAAATTAAAAAAAAATTAATAGCTTTTATACAAGCGCAATACCACGATTTATATAAATACATATGTTTATATAATAAACTATTAATTGATTATTTTTGTCATTTGCTAGCTAATGCAAAATTATAACATAAAAGCTAATGCGATAGAGGATATGATAGAAGCTTTTTTGCAACTTCAATTTAGATAATGGAGATTGGAGCTAAAAGAGATGTAAAAGATATACGCTAGCGCGACATGTACAGGAAATTATATGTTGTATGTAAAATAAATAGTGCTATAAGACACGGGAGAGAAGAAGTGGCCGCGTGAAAGAAAGAGAATGAGAAAAGGAAAAAGGGGGTGGAAATACTAACGGAAGATAGAAGGCGATATGGTAAATGAGAAAGAAAAAAACCTAAAGAAAAAAAAGGGGAAACAAAGAAGCAGAGCGATACGAAGTGAATGGAGAAAATAAAAACTAGAAAGATTTTGGACCGAGACGGAAGACAATGAGGAAAGGGGCGAAGGGATAAGTTGAATTAGCTGAAACTATTCAGTATAAGAAAAGGCGAAGGACAGAGACTCGATGAAGGAGTAGGCCGCCGCCCATTCGCGCGCACAGATTAAGCATCTTAATCGCCTACGAGCACAACTGCAAATTGCGCACTCGGGTGAAATGAAAATGGCACCGAGTATACGTACGCTTGCTTGTAAGAGAGCTTGCACGACACGTTTAAAACAAAAAAGTTCAATGGGCTTGAAGCACAAGCGAGGAAAGGACATGGAGCTCGTGAACGCGGAAGCGAAGGGTGAATGGTCATAGAGAAAGGGTCGACTAAAAAGTCAAGACACAGGAGACATACCCGGTTGAATTGGAGACGCTTTGAGTGAGTGAAAATGGTGTGAGTTACAGGGCGCTTACCAAGAGTGCAGATAACTTTTTTTTTTTTAATCAGCGACGCTATTAAATTGCCGTTTTAATCTCGGTCCTGCAGTTTTACCAGCAGCATTCCCTATGATTAAAAACGAGCTTGTTTCGAAACTATGCGATTGCATTAACAATACAATTTTCCGCCGCGAGAACTTTGTTTCCTCCGTATACGCGAGCTTTTATTTTTGCGACCGCGTTTTACTATTGTAATTTAAAGTGGATATTTACCAAACTTGTAGGAATGTGTATTAAATGCTTATAATTAATAAAATATGAAAGATATAAATAATTTTACACAATTCCTTCTTCCTATTTTATTCTTCTTCTGGATTTATCTTCGAATACGCACTCCTATAAATTTGTACGTCAAAAAGGATAATATTAAGTAAAGTGGCGTGGCGCGGCGCGAATATATTTTGCTAACAACCAAGTTAATCTACTTTTATGCAGTAATTTTTGTACATACGTCGCCTTCATTAGAGCAGGTCGCAATCTCATCTTTTCTGGCATTTTGCTTAATAATGTACAACTTAGCGTGGGTGGTTATATTACCTCACCGATGAAAATTTATATTTACAGAGATCTCACTTCTCGTGAAAAACGTAATATTCGCTAGTGCGGAAAATTTATTTCCATCTCATTTTCGAAATGTTAAAATAGCGAGTTGTTCTAACGTTTATTCTCTCGAGATATATTAAAAATAAACAGTTAAAACAGAGTTTTGCATAAAACAATGCGAGTTATCACAATGCCTTGCGTTTTAACATAAAATAGATTTAATATTAAAATATTGTCATATAATAATAATATCAATAAAGTTTTGATAATTAAGAATACACTAGGAAAACCATGAAATGATGATCTGCAACAATTAAACAGACAATACTGATATTTTATTATTCATCGAGAATTAAAATCAGCATAATTTCAATGAATACAGATTTTGATGTGGGCAGACGAAAACAGATTCCTCTAAAATTATTCTTGAAAATTTACATAAATGCGCGACTAATGCGAAAAAAAATTTTTTTTCGTATCTGCATAAGTGTATGCGTTTCACATATAATTTTGTATTTCTGTATTTAATACGTCAAAAATTAAACTAAAATAGAAGTTAATTTCAATCTCTATTTTTAACAAAGCCTTGTTTTATTATGATCCCGACGTTTCTTTTTTGCTGCGCAGAAAGTGAATTAGCGCTAAATAACGCTGAGTAAGGAAGAGGTTTACAACGTTTCTAATCGCCGAAGCTCCTAAACTCACCGGTCGCGAAACGCGTGACGTAGAAAACGGCAGCTCGTCAACTTCTGACATTCCACACAAAGCGCCGTCTCGCGAGAGTACTCACTGTGAAATCGCGTATCGTCGTACGTACATACCGCGCACCTTTTTGCCCCTCACTGAGATTAAAGTCCTTTGCGCTTTGTCCACAAGAGTGTCTGACATCCTCCGTCCTCCACCTCGTTTCGCGCAACGTTTCTCCGCGGGCGGAAGATAGACGCCGACGAATAATTTTCTTCAACGCATATCAGGCCGAGCAAAATTAGTCTTGAGGATGAAATGTGGAGGGATAAGAGCAGTGGAGCGGGTGGGACTTGCGCCACTCTAACGAGACTCTAATCTTCTTCCCTCGTTGAAGCTTAGGGCAGCTCGCTCAAACTTTCGTCTCGTACATCGGGTAATTAAAATGTTAATCGAGGAATTAGCCAGTTAAGGAGAAGGTTCGCCCCGGCGTATACTTTGGTTTTGCCCGCACGTCGTCTGTCTTGGTTAACGGAACTCGGGAGTCGAACTTTGATCGAATTTAATGTGAACAGAGCGACACCCAGAGGAGATAGTGACAATTTTGTCTCATGAGAAGTAGATATCGATGTACCTCAAAAATTTAATAATGATTTCTAAAGTTATATTTTAAAATATGTATAAACGAGATATGTATGTAATATAACTATAATAGATTGGACTTTAGATATAGCTTTATCGAAATTGGTATTATATGTTTATTTTCCAAGTAGTTGCAATTCATGAGAATTATGTTAATTATTTCCTATAGTTTGTATTACAGTTCAATTGGAAATTTAAAGTTTATGGATTTATAATTATATTATAAGAAGTGTCAGAGAAATAATATGCGTAGGAATTGAATAAAATGCCGATTCTGTCTATATATACTTCTACGCGTCATGTGCTACGAACGTAATCTCTCGGTCATCTACTAGAGCGGTTTGGGATTCCTATTTTGGAAATTAGTTGGAAAATTAGTTTTGGCCACCAGTTTACTATGAACTTTTGAAATTGGTAGGTTGGAGGACTGGCATGACCGGGGAACATAGTTTTATGTCGTCAACGAGTCACCCCGTACATTGTCAAGTTCTAATGTTATTACAGTTCATTTCGCGCGGCATTTCAACGCGCGCGGTCAGCAATGAAATGTCGACAGAAAATTGTTAGCTTCCGTTACATCTAAAAGACCATCTTTCACTTTTTGTTGCAGGTTGGACGACGAGAAGTTGGATCTCATTAACGTAAGTAATTCCAATAAGATGAAGCATTACCTTTTACAACTTTAATTAAACGTCTCGCTCGTGGAACAATGTAGAGCAGAAATTATATTTATCTAGAATCTGAGACTGAAAATCAAGTCTTCTATGAAATATAATATGCAATTGCAGAAAATGCCATATTAAAATAATTATACAAAAATGAAAATAAGAGCGATATTAATAATAATTTAATTCTCCAATTTAGTCTCTAATAAAAGAATATTTTTAGATAAAACAGTAATAATAATTTCAAAGAAATAATGTAAGAAAAATGTTAAATAGTAGATGTGATTTATTATTAATACGTTAATTTAATCGCTTTAATTTCAAGAAAATATATAAATCAATTAAAATCATCCGCGCGGATTTGAAATTATCATTTTGCAGCTTAGTCCTCTTTGCACTGGATCGATTAAAAGCCCCGCGATATTAGCTCTCTGTAATCGCGTAAGCCTCCGTACGATTTCGTCGACGTTGATCGACGTCAATATACGGGACGCAGCGGATGGAAATGGACCATGGTAGAACTACGCATTCCACGCCATATCAAACGTTGCCGGCGTCATGGCGGCCTAATGCACCGCGTCGCAAGCATAACTGTATGTGCCAAATAACCGGAAATTACCGGGCGCATTTCAATCAGAACCGCCCGGCAATGTCCGTCGCATGGACCATCGTTTGTTCCGCATAAATAGACGCCTAGCTTGTATGATAATCTCTCAAATCGAGCCGGGAAATCTCGGGGAATTGCTGGCTTCTCTCTGGAGAACCGCTTTTCCGGTAAAGCTACAGCGAATGATCTCTATATTCAACGGAAAGGATCGCTCGTTTATCATTCATATCACGATTATTATTCATATAGTTGTTTATCGTTGCTAATATATCGGTAAAATGTGGAAATTAGAAATATATTTTAATTTCTTTAATAATTTCTTTTTCATATGTTTGGCACCAATTATCTGACACAAATTTACAAAGGTTTAATTAAAATATTACTGGTATTAAATATTGACTAGTGAATGAATAAAATTGTACGGATTCGAAAGATAGAGTTTTATGAATATGAATAAATAATAATATTTTATATAGGTATTAGTTAGTTTTACTTTTCTATTTTACTTTTTGTATTTGAATAATTAAGCTAAAATTGAATTTCTAAAAGCGAGTAATGTAATCCCTCCAATTAAAATTTCGTTATAAAAAAATCAAACGCAGATCGTCGCGATGTTCCAATTTCTCAAAGAGCGCAATTCTGCCTAATCCTTACATTCTATTATACCTACTACGAATGCAATGTATTTAATATTCATGTTTGCATAATATGTACATTTGAGCGGCAAAATTATAAATACGACAAACGCGATAATAACGATATTTCGAAGTTCGTCTTTTTTCAACATATAAAATGGAGTGTAAATTGCAATGGAATAGAAACAGAAATTTGCAATCTGAACAGTACAGAGCGATATTGTATATTGTAGTCATCACTGAATATTGAAAATGATTTTCCTCCGTTTATCCTACATTATATTGCGTGCATCCGCTATGAAATTGCGCACTTAAGCAGGATAGAACGCAATATCGTGTAAACGCCCGCAGATTTATCTCGATCGTACATTGCTGTATTTACCAACGTGTTCCAATTGCATTAGTTACGATACTTCACGCGTAGTACAGCAAAACAATCGTCTTTGACTTGGATGAAGCCACGTACATTTAGCTTGTAAAGTGCAATTGCACTTCGCTAGCGATATAGGAGCGCAACTCATTAAATCTGCCCTGCGGTCGAATGTTTCAGCGAACCACGACACTCTAAATAGCCTTTTGATAAATATAAATTAAACGTAAATGGTGTTCCGTGTAGCATGCTTTAAATTAAATGTCTTGAATAAACATTATGTTGCAGTAGCATTTTTTTTATATTCTACTAAACATTTCTTGATACGTAAAGAATTTTCAAATATATGTATTTTTTCCGTATTTTATCTTTGTACAAGAAAACTAATAAAAATTAGTTTTACTATTTTTATGTAGTTATTGAAAAATAATAAAACTAACCTTTACATAGCTGTTATCTATATGAAAATTAATTTTATTATTTATACATATGTATATACAGATAATAATTTACACATTAATTGTACACACACATCAACTTTCAGCTGTTTCAAGAATTTCCAATTTTTCATCATGTTTTCTATGTTTTCTATCATCGCGTCTTAGTGATATACACATATGTTATAGCTGGTTGTAAGAGGATCAATTGAAAGGATACATATTTTGCAATCTTCTTGGATACAAAGATACCGAGAATCTTTATTCTTCTCTCTTTCTCTGTGATGTCAGTATCGAACATGGAGTACCAGCAATCTCAAGAGAGTGCCTTTTACTCCACAATCTTCCGCTTGCGTTTTATTGCCGGGCTACTCTCCTCTCGCTTGTCGAACTGCTCTCTTGATTTTTCTCAGCTACTTGTTTTCATCGCTCTCTTTTCTCGGACACTCCCAAGGGTGCTTCTTGTCCCGTAGAAATCTTGCTTGATATGTGTGTGTACACGTGTATGTGCAATTATAGACATAAGTTCCCTAATATATCACGTTAATCGAGGTAAATTCTCGAACAATTCAATGACTCGTAAATTAAAATTATTAATATTCTTAGTAGATTAATAGTAGTTAACTTAATTTTGAAGCGTTGTAATCATCGTGTAATTTATTTTTTTCGTAGAAATATTTAAAAATTTTAAAATTATAATAAATAAAAATGTATAACAATAAAAAATTTATAATTACAAATTTACCGAAATTTTATTTAAATAACTAATATCCTCCATATTTTTATTATTAAAAATGCATGAAATGCATTTTTCCGTTGGGATGTCATGTAGCGCAAGTCCTTCCATTTGCATATCATTTTACAGTATATGCGATGGTAATCTCAGGGGAGTGTCCACTCTACAATCTTCCGCATATGTCATATTGCCGCTGAACGACAATCCTGTGATTGTTCCCGTGGAAAAAAGAATCGTTCTTTTTCCTCTTGCTTTTTCTCGAATGATCTCCCTTACGAACGATTTTATGTAATTCTCATCGTTATTCGTAATGCATACGACAGGATAAACAGACATTGATGATCAAATTTTATTCTGTTAAACTTTTGGTCACACTTTATAAGTTATTATGTGGTTTCAAGATAACCGATCATGCGATCATACGACCATAACTTTCTAATTAATTTTTTCGATGTTACCCAATCTCGCAGCATTCTCGCGTTGCTATTATTGCCGGTGACAATTTTGCGAAGTACCCTCCATGAATGGAAACTTGTTAATGAGTTTACTCCTCGTAGATGCGATTCTCCCGAGGTGATTTAAATTAAAGCGTTATTGTGTTTCGTTATTTATTCGGAAATGAAAGGAGAGACGACCCATTTATAACTATTATCTTATATCAGAGAAGCATACACTGATAGAAGGAGCTCGGCGAGAGAGCACTCAATGACGGATTTTACAATGATAAGATCCAGTATAACGATCGTCTTTCGTGCAAAGAGTTCAATCATGGAAACTTTTGCAGAAGCGTGCGCACAAAGAAGGCATGCCTTTCTCGTGGCGTGGTTTTTTTTTCTTGAAAAGTACAAAAAAAGAAAGTTCTGCTGGGGCGAAAATCTTTACCGACTCGTGAGACAATGGCAATGGTTTTTCCTTTCGCGTTGAGATCGATGAACATTACGGAGAAAGATGGTGCGATCATCCTGTTGCCCCGTTCTATTATATATGTTTTGTCACGATAAGTTTTTGCGAAGAACTATTATATATTGTACTGTGACACATTTATCTCGAGACTCTTGCAACTAAACGCAATAAATAAGCTCAGCTTATTTCGTACAGCTTCTGTTTTGTTACGCACGTGTGAGTGTATTGTCGCCCAATAAAATTTACACATAATTATTGCGCATATGTGAGAAATAACAAAAGTCTTGAATTTAACATATATATATATATATATATATATATATATATATATACATACATATATATATATTTATAGGCATAATCTGTCCACACATATCTATACATCTAAGCTGGGCAAAAGACTGGCTTCAACTCGATTTAGAATGGATCAGGGAACAAGTTTCTCTCGCGACCGAATTTTAAGGTTTAAAATGAAAAAGGGACGTTTAGCGTGGTAACTCTACGAGCCAACTACGCCGTTTAAATTAATTTCTCCACCGCGTTAAACGCTTGCCTACTTCTGGCTGCTGCATTTCCGCGCCTATTGCCTCGCGATCGTTGTCGGACGAGTCATGCACACACCAAAGCAGCAAAACAGGGTGTCGGGAACAGTTGTCGCGACAGATACCCACCACTTTGTACTCTCTCACGTTTGGCTCTGACATTAATACGGCGAATTATATTGCGAATGAGTTTCGCGAGTGTGAGTGCGGAAACGGATTTAAACGATCCGTATTAGCGCAACAGTTATATTTCATCAGCGAATGAATATTCATAATCCCCGTATCTCACGTTTAGCATTATTGTTACACCTCTGCAATACGTTATCTTGATATTAATGATTAATTATCGGTATTATGTAGATACGTTACATCATAACATAGCTTTGAACGGGAGCAAACTATATTTCCATATTGAACATGTTCCGCCGTTTCTCTAAACGATTTATTATACTTTCTATTTATATTTCAGAGAAATACGATTGGCAATATTACTATTATATTTAACAAGATAATAATTTAATTATCCAACTTGTACAAAGTAAATGAACATGTAATTAATATTAATATTTGCGCGAAAGTTCTCGCAAACAATTTGACAGTAAACGCGTACTCATAAATGAATATACAGGATATGTACAAGATGTTCCATACATCTTTGAAACAGATTAAAGATATAAAGAAAAATTGTAAAATAAAATTGAATGATAGTGATTTTGCTTTTACATACCTGTAAATGATAAATGCAA